TAGAGTCCAAGAAACAACTTTTAACTTTCCTCAAAAGGCCACAAATTATGTCCATTAGCTATCTAGAGGGATTAAGTAAATATATATCACAAGCTGGTTGGGAGAAGAGAAAGTGGGAAAGAGGCATAAAAATTGTATCAATATAAGATCAAAGCTCAATCCTCAAACAGCTTTCAAGCAGAAAAGTAAGAAAACATATCAAACAGAACAAAACCACCTGCCTCAGTTACTTTGCTTAAATTCTCCCCCTCATAAACTCATTTTAAGAGGAAAACACACATACAGGGAAAGAAAACACGGTTAAATCCTATGGGGAAGTCAATATTTTATGCTAATTGGTCTCTGAAATGGTCTTTTGAATGGAATTTCTAGAAAGGTATAATTTGTAAGAATAAAGTATCCAGAAATAAAAGTTTGTAAGATTGCTCCAAGAGTTAGTTAAGGATAGAGATGAACTTTACGGTTGTTCACTCAAAAAATGAGCCAGCTTCCAAGGTAATGCATTTATCAGCCAGCATAATGCAAAAATATAAAAATTTAATTGTAACCCAGAACTTCCCTCACTATGGAGCATGCAGTCTTAATAATTCCTATGAAATCAGTTCACCATAATTTCAGTTTTAGTAACAGTTGGAGAGATCAGAAAAATATAAATATATTATAAAATCTGAAAAGCAGAAAAACAATAGATTGGAATCTCACCAAGTTCCTCCATATTACATCCTAAAAAGAAGACATAATTAAATCTTGAGTACTGATATTCTATCATCAAAGATAATTTTGGAATAGTTATGATTAGGCAATATATGCTCAGTCCTAAATCTATAACTTCTCTGCCAGTAAAAGCATTTGGGAAACTTGGAACGCAGAGACAGCAGTCACTTCTTGTAGTTATAAGGTAGATGTCTAAACTTTAACAATGTAGACAGTGATGAGAGTGAAGCAATGCATTTTATTGCTTCTTCTGCCTCCATTTCTTTAAGCAAAACCTGGCTAAGACCTCAAAAAAAAAAGTTTCCAAAGGGGAAAAACCTCAAAAAAAAAAAAAGAGAGAGAGAGAAGTTTCCAATGAAAAACAGCCCAGGGGTAAGCTTGGGCAACAGCTCACATTACACGCAGAAGAAAATGTCCTGTGGTGAGTCTTCTTTCTATTTACCACATTCCCTCTCAGGTTGCTATATTTTATTTCACGCTTTTTTGACTGTCATCAATCAGAAGGACAATTCTATTCTTTGTTGGATAACTGGGCTATGCTTCCCAAAAGTGACAAGCACACCGAAATAGAAGCTGCAGCAGAGAACCAGGTCACAGATGTGAATGAGAGGCCGAGACCAGCTCTGAAGTGTAACATGCCAAGAAATGCTAGATGTAGCTGATGCAGAACAAGCAGAAGGACACAGTAAGGATAACAAAGTTTCATACTCAAAAGAGTAGAAAGATCAAAAGGAAGAAATAACAAACATTTTTAAAGAAACTAAGTATTTTTTACTTTTTAAAACAGTGTATGATTTGGGGGGAAAAAAGTCTTCTTGAGTCAAAATAGCTGATGACAATCTGTGGATAGGCACTGGAATTAACACAGTAGAGTTTCGTGACAGGTGTTCTTTTACAACTAGATAAAAAATCTTTTATAATCAGAAAATCAATTTTTACACGAATATGGATGTCAAGTGAAGTTTAAGTATGTAAAGACACTTAAATAATATTCCCACTTACTCGCTTTCTGAATTTTTCTCTCTTCATTTAAAGGAAAAAAAATAGGAAGGAAACAAGGGAAAGCAGCTCAGCATTATGAAATCTGTGACTACATGTGGGGTTAAGAAGCATTCCAGCAGATTTCAAAAAAGAAGAAAAAACTTTTAAGTGGCAGAAACAGTTATTTTGTAATATGCATGCACTTGATTTTTGACTCTTTAACCTACACACAAAGTTAAAATTGTATCAGCTCCAGGAGTTCCTAAAGACTAAACAAAAAATGTTTACTATAGAAGTCCCAAAGGAAAAGATCCTACCCACCAATGTCAAAGCAAAAAATTTATCACCCTGATTCCTCCTTTTCCCTTACCTTCCATTTCTTCCCATCAAGTTGTCTCAGTTTTACTTCCAAAATATTTCCAAATCATTTGTTCATCTCTACTGTCACTGGGAAGTCCAATCCAATTCATTTTTAAATTAAACTTCTATAACAGCCTCTGAGCTGATCTCCTGGCTTCTACTCTTGTCCTCCTCTTACTCCATCTCCCTCAGATGATCTTAACTTAGATATCATCATGCCATTTTCTCCTAAACCTTTACATATTTACCATTTCACCCAAAATGAAATTCAGACTCCTCTCTGTGACCTCCATGATCTAGATTGTGCAAGCTCACCTTGTATTGCTCTTCCTCTCCACTGCTCATCCTCTCCTCACACGTTCCAGATATACCTATGTTTTTGACCCTTGCCTAAGTAACACTCTCATACTTCACGGCATTTGCATTTTCTTTTAGAAAGATCTTCTTGGAATTTTGTTTTTAATTTGAAGAATACATTGATATTAAAAATTCAAATAACACCAAAAAAGCAAATGGAAACAAATGATAACTTAAAATTCCAAAGCCTAGAGAAAATTACCATTATTATTTTGAGGATAATTTTGAGGATATTTTGAGGATAATTAATTTGAGGATAATGCTTTCCTATATCTCTCTGTGGGTATATGTGCTATTCTACATTATATTTATAAATAATCTTCCATATATTCCAACTCTTTCCATATTGGTTCTCTCTCATACTTTAGTTCTCACCTCAAATACCAGGTCCTCAAAAGAGGCCTTTTGAACCACTCCTCTCTATGACATCATCTGTTTATTTCCCTCATTGTACTTATGTTTCTCTAAATTAACTGTGTTTGTTTACTTGACTCTCATTTTTTGTCTGTCCAACCCCAAAAGAATGCAAGCTCCATGATGACAAAGATATTATCTCTGAGGGCTAGCTCCAAACCTAATACACTGCAGGTACTCAATATTTACTGAATGAACAAATGATGGCTTTGACTAATATTTACATACTGCCAAATCCTAAATTTGTACCTTCTATTCAAATTTCAACCATCCCACTCGGCAGCTCTATCTGGATAGAACACAAGTATTTTGGTCTCAGTGGGTCAACTACCTGCTCCCCCTCATGTTGTTGCGTATTCAGATGAATGACATCAACCAAATTTCCCAAGCTATGAACTTCAATTTTATCCTTGATGCAATTCTTCCCCCTCACCCCATATCCAACCAATCACAAAGAACCTCTTCATATTACCTCAATTCTACCTCCTAAATCTCTTCAACCCATCCACTTCATTCAGACCATCTGTTCCTCTCCAAGTTGCTACCACCATTCAAGTGCAAATTACTGTTATTTCTCTCCTGGACAGCCACAATAACCTTTTACCTTGCTGCTCCAGATCCACTCTTACCCTCTCTAATTTACTCTCCATGCTGTAGCCTCAGAGGTATTTTCAAGATAACAATACAATTACATCATACTTCTTAAAAGTCTTCAGCGGCTACCCACTATTCTTAGATTAAAAGCTAAAATCCTTATCATGGACTATAAGGCCCACAGGAAATATCCTTCACCTAACCAGATTTTTCTCCATAATCCAGTATTCAGCTTTCTTTCAGTTCTTTAAACCTACATGCTCTATCTTCCCTCGGCGTCTTCACATATGCCGTTCCTTCTGTCTACTACACTACCTACCCATATCACACCACCCTTGCTACACATATTCAACCTTCAGATCTCAAACTCAAACATCACTTCCTCCGAAAGGCTGTGGTAGGCAGGATTCTAAAGATATCCTCCCTCTCTCTCCCCAATATTTCATTCTCTGGTTATACAAACAGTTATCTAGGTACTGCTATAAAGGGGTTTTGCAGATATAATTATTACTCAATTGATTTTAAGATAGGAAGATTAACCTGGATTATTCTGGTGGATCTAATATAATCAGCTAAGCCCTTAATGCAGAAGTTTCTCCCAATCAAGGGCAAAACAGGAAATCAGAGAGAGACAGCAGAAGTCAGCCAACACCTCGTTTGGGCCTAGAAGCAGATTCTCCCCACCAGAGACTCCAGGCCAGCTGATAACTGATTTAAACCCGCAAGACCCTAAGCAAAAAGTCCAAACTACCTGGACTTCTGACTTACTTCTGTGATATAATAAATGGGTATTACTTTAAATCACTAAATTTGTGGCAGCAGTAGTAAAGAAAACAAAGAACTGACGCACCTCCACCTCTCTGTCCCCCACCTCCAGTCCAGACTGTGTTAGGGACCCTGTCAAATGTTCCCAGACCATTTGACACTCTCATAATACTCATTATACTTAATGTATGTAGTCTAAGATCTATGGACAAAGGTTTAGTGTTTTTGTATACCATAAACCACAATAATCCAACATCTACACAATTGGTACCTATAAACATTTGCTGACTTAACAAATTTTTCACTCAACTTTCTGTCAAAATTTTCAATCATGACACACCTCCTGTAAAGTACTATATTACAAAATATTTCTATAATAAGGGTCAGTTGCTTTATAGCAGTTACTAAAAAGAGGGGAATAGTGGGAGAATGGAATACATTCAGAATCACTGGGGCAATTGTTCTTTTTGTTTTATAAGCGTTCCCTCACTTACCATTACCCACAATCAGAAATGCTCACTCCATGCCCAAAACTCCTAGGGAGCATGACCATCTATTAGAGAATCACAAAAAGCTTACCATATAGAACCATTATTACAAATGTCACTGGGTCGTATTCCTCAAGTATACTGGACTGTAAACAAAGGTTTAGAACAACTGTTCTACTTTTTTAAAGAAATAGTTTTCAAACTGCAAAAAAAAGGAAATTTATTCAATCTGCAACAGTACTATATTTCATAATAAAAAGAAACTGACTATATTAAAACTATCTAGTCAGAAAGAAGAAAAGTCAACAAAAAGAATATTTTACTTACATTAACGGGAAAGCAAAAAATGGGAGTGTCATGGCAAGTCTTGCTGTAAGTTCATCCGGAAGATACCATAAGTATACAATTAAACATGTAAACAGATAGAGGATTGAAGAGTACAAAATTAATCTTCCAACCCATAATTTTTGTAATCTCTGATTTTTTTCCCTAAATTCTTCCAATGCTTGGATTTCCTGTGAAGAGAAAAATTCATAAAGAAAATAAACTGTTTTAAAAAAATTTAACATGATAGAGAAGTTATAGAGAAACCACCCTTAAAATTCAATGAAATATAATACCCTGATATCTGAAACAGAACATAATATGAAAAGACAATTAAAAATGAAGTTTAAAATATATCAAAATTCCTAAAATGATTTGACAAATCTTTTTATGCAAGATATTTAAAAATACTTGATAACCTATCAAACTAGCAAAGCTCAGAGGTATAAAATTGGCATCAATAAACAGTATTTGTTAAAACAAACAAGTAGTAATTCTCCTTGTATAAGGCCAAAAAAAAAGTGACTATAAAAAGGATTAATAAAAATTGAAACAGTGATCCATACTAGATTCCCTCAATCTATTCATCATTCTCAATATTCCCAAGGAATAAGTATTTTTTATGATAGAAATTGTAAAAAGCTGTGAAGTTTGCAAACTGATATAAACAGTTGCAGACTATTTTATAATCTACTTATCTATAATGGTGTAACATTGATTTACACCATGCCGTAGATCTAATTTCATTCTAACAGTCATTATTACTTGACACAGAGTTCTTAAGTCACTGATAAGACTTTGGACTTTAACATGAAAGTTCTCAGGCTTACTGTATATCACCTCTAAATTCCTATACCAGATCTAGTCTCCAAAGTAATATATACTGAAATAATATTTATGTAACACCCCAGGGCCAAAGAACGTACCTTATCTATATTTTCCAGAACCTCTACTGTGGAAGGTTTCGTCTGTTATATAAATAGAAATAGCTTGTTATTGCTAACTTGGAAGCACTTTGACTTTTTTAATCATAAAAGAACATTTTAATCCAAAACTAAGTTTTTTCAATATTATCAAGCAATATGTATTCCTGTTTATTTACAAACGAGATTTAGATTTAAATAAAAACTATAAGTATAAACAAAATTACACAAGACTAAAGAAATAAGATGCTCCTATTTAACTTATTTTTAGGCCCAAAAGTACTTTCAACTCTGTAGCTCAATGTTTACCTTGCTTAACTCCAATAAAACATACTTAGAAATTACTGAGAGATAATTTGCTTTTCTTAGATATGATTATTCAAAAGAATTATATTAAATTATTATAAATTATTAATTCTAAATAATTATAATCAATTATTATAATGATAAATTCTATTTTAAAATTCAAAACTAAAGTTGTTCTGATCTACTACTGCTAAAAGTTCACTTAGGACGCTGGGGGTCAAAAACCAATTAGCTACCTTCACTCTGAATTCCTAAAGTACTTTTCTGAAGATCAGATTTTTAAAGGGCATCTAAGAATACTTCATTACAACAGAGCTTGTTTTTCAGAGACATTTTTTATATCACCTAAAATAAAAATTAGCCAAAATGGCTCACATAACACTTGAAAAAATAATTACTAATTATATACTCAACCATCTAACAGGGTAGTGATAATCAATTCAATTGTAGTGCCCACAGGAATTATTAATATTAGATTAAACCATATGAAATTGCTGTTTATGTAGTCAAAAACTGTTGAAGACTGGTAATTTCATATGGTTCAACCTAACAAGATAGACAAAGGAAAAACAGATAAATTCAATTATCAGGTTTTAAAGGGGGGGTAAGGGAGGTGGAGACTATTAATAAAACATCAATCCAAAGCAAAGCAGGTCCAGAAATAGTTCAAAAACTAAACTGTATATCAAGTACTGCTGGATTCCATTATTATGGTAAAAAGGAGTAAAAAAAATAGGCAAAGCAGTTTGTCCTAGACTACATTACCTTCTCCTATATTGAAGAAGAGCATTTACCAATATATTTTATAACCCTAAATTTAAAACTTAGCCAATAAAATAAAACTCTATTTTTAATTGTGTTTAACCTAGTAATTCCTAAAAGTACATCTAGTATGACTTCAGTAAATATTTGTGATAAGCTTTAAAAAAAAGATATAACCTATAAAAGCATTAGGTACTGCATAGAATAATTTCAACTATCTTTCAAGTAAGATTGAAATTTAGGTACTACGAAAACAAAAAAAGATAACCATTTGCACATGAATGTATAAAGAGAGAAATAAAAATAATTCATAAGTCAAAGTGAAATAATCCTGTTAAACAGAGACATGAGACACCTATAAAGCAAGTATAACCATTAAAGTCCAAATAAAAAACAAATTCACAAGAAGGAAAAAAAAATTAAATAGTTAGGGATAATATTAAACTACTACTCAAGTCTACACCACAAAGGAGACCTTTACAAATAACTTTATGGGACACTTTTACTTTAGACTAGGAACTATTGTAAAGAAAACTAACTTACCCTCCATCGAGAAAATAATCCACCCATTTTTCATTTGTAGAAACTGGGCACAATAATAAATATCATCAGTTGTCCAAAGGAATTCACAGCTAGAAATAAAGCAATTATTTTTAAAGTTTAAGTTAAATATACAGCATACTCACTATAAAATTTAAATGTTGCAATACTATAAAATAAATAAAACACTATAAAATATTAATTTCCTTGGATTCCACTTATGTGAGATTTTAGTTCAGATAGACTTGCAGATAGTCCACCTTTTAAAAAATCTTTCTTCCACGGCAGAATATATTTAAAAGTGAAAATAAAGCTGGAAGGACTTTTTAAGTAGCGAGGCATTTTAAAAGTGTTATTTGTACCACTTTGCGATTTTCTGTTCCTTAAAGTAGGTCCCCTATGCTGTTCTTGCAAGAAAAGTTCTGCTATACTTTTATTCTCCAGTCTTAAATACAGCCATTCTATCATTTGGCTGTCTCCCAACTAAACTAGTTATTTGGAGTTAGGGGTGCTCTACAATGTTCAGAATAACATCGCTTTACAATAATAGAAAGCCAACTGGATTCTAAGTAAGAAAATAAGGGTTACAAGGCTACCTGTGACAATGAGCATATCATTTAATGTTTCTGAGCCATAATTTTCTTTTCTGTACATTAAAGTTAATAATATTACCACTTTTCACAGAATAATCTTCATTACTACTATTTCACAGATAAGAAAATTAAGTGGAAAGAAATCAAGTGATTTGTCCAATAACTCAGAAGAAACATTACCCAAAGGTACTCTATCTTCAGACTCCTGGTCTGTCCACAACCAGTCAACACCCAAATAAGCACTTCTCTCTGAAACTCTGTTGAGTCCCTCCAGTTAGTTAAAGTGTCATGTCAGGTAGTTGCATCTCCTAGCCCCATCTTTTGGTTGGTTTTCTATGACTCTCAAATGTATGCGATTCTCCAGGCAAGAATACTGGAGTAGGTTGCCATTTCATTCTCCAGAGGATCTTCCCAACCCAGGGATCAAACCGCCATCTCCTGCGTTGCAGGCAGTCTCCTGAATTACTGGTAGATTCTTTACCACTAAGCCACAAGGGACGCTATATTAAATATTATCATACATTTAAAAAATGTATTAGCAATATTATAACCTAAATCAGTTTACCAGTCAATAATTATATAATTTTTAATTCCTTTAAATTGAAATAGTGGAAGTATATTTTCAAACTTACATATTTTTACAAGGTTACAGTTATATACAACCAACATAAAACTGCTTCATTTCCACCCAAAAGAAAGTTAGGCCATAATTTTTACATTTTTTTAAACCTATAAATGTAATCACCAAATAATGCCAGCACCAAGTAAGTACATACACTCTGAAATACTATTTTTAGGTTGGAATTAGCATAAGGCATGCCTACCTTGGACTTGCTTGGTTACAGAAGTAACAAAAAATCTAATTATAAAACTTACAAAGTGACTTTCATGGACAGAAATATCTATCATCTGTCCTAAAAATTTCTGCAGTTTATAAATGTAATCAATGCTATAAAGTCACATTTAAGTTGCAATCTAAATATTATTATTAATCCTTCAATAGTAACTCAGTATTCAAATTTCTAAAATGCGGTTGTAGGAAACCCAGGAACTTTAATGAATAAAAGTTAAAATTTCTAAGCTAAGACATTAAATAGATCTCAAAACCATAAAATGCTAAAAATCACCAAGACATGTGACTGAGGAGGGAAGATTCAGATGAACCACTTAACTTGTATACTTTCAAAGTATACGTTATTCCACGTATGCATGGTGTATAGGACAATGATTTGTACACAACTGACCTACACATTCTGGTTTGAAACAGTGATGTGCCTCCAAGTTTACAGCTACCACAAACTAGATTTTTTAACATTTGAAAGTAATGACAACAATAATATTTAAACACTTAGTACTCAATCTTCTAGCAAGCCCTAAAACAAATGTTTTTCATAAATTTTGTCAAATAGATACTATTATCAATCTGTTTTACAAATGAGGAAACTGAGGCTACAGAAGTGAAATAACTTGCTAAGTTCCCAAAGACAGTAAGTACTAATAGAAGAGCCAGACACAGTATTTTAGTTTTGATTTTGTAAAAAGCAACAAGTTAGGGGTAGAGGATTAAGAACTACAAACTACTATGTATAAAACAAATAAGTTACAAGGATATATTGTACAGCAAGGGAATATAGCCAACATTTTATAACTATAAATCAAGAATAATCTTTAAAAATTGTAAATCACTAAGTTACATACCTGCAATTTATATGATATTATAAATCAGCTATAGTTCAATAAAAAAGGCCAAAAAAAAAAACAAGTTATTTCCAGCAACTCAAAATCAGAAATAAAATCTTTCTGTAGATTAGACTGAATTATTTGTACATAAAAGCACCTCAGACATTCTCAAACATCTGGTAAATGGGGTTACTGCAGTGGAAAGTTATAAACACAAGATCCAGAGTTGGTACAGTGTATCATGTAGCCCAATTCCTTTATTTGATTAAATTTGAATGCTTAAGTCTACATAGAAGAGAAGCTAAATGATGTGCCAAAATCATGTACCTCCGGGAAGGGGCAGAACTGGTACTAGAAGTCTGCAAGTACTGCCTCTACTTGTTTACTGCATATCACTTTTAAAATACATGTCATATGAAATATATGCATAATACTACAATTAATACCAACTTTCACATCAATTATTTGCTTGGAGAATTGTTTTGGTATTAATGAAACATTAACATTACTATAAAACCTTGGGCAAATAAATTACTTAACCTCTCAGTTACTCATTATCTTCATCTGCAAGAGAGTGATAGATAAGAACCCTCTCAAATGTTAAAAAGCATTCTAAAGTATTTACATAACACATTCTCAAGTATTTACAGCAGTGTCAGACACATCCTAATTTCTCAACACAAATTGTTTTTACTGCTGTGGCTGTTGCCTTTCTCCAGTCCATCTCTGTTTCCTTTCAACACATGGAAAATACATGAGAATCAGACTACTAGCATTTTTTTCTGCATAAATCAATTTGCTTGCCCTTGAGTGGACAGATGGTTCAATCTCAACTGGCCTATTCCAAGAACTCTTCTATGAACATGTACAAAGAGTCTCCTTCCACTTTGATATAATGGGACCTGACATGACCATAAGAGCTGAGTGCATCTAATGTGTTTTTCAATAAATAACGATGCCCACCATATTATTCAAATGCTTTCTACTAATTGCTATTCGCACTAAGGTTTAGGTGTCAGAATTTAAAATCTCAGGACATGTTATTCTTAAATTTTCAGCTTAATTCAAGTCATATTGAAATAACAGAATAAAAAAGGTCTGGATTCAAAATATGACTCAACCACACACTAGCTATGTGATCTTGGATAAACTAAACTCTCTAAGCCTCAGTTCCGCATTTGTTTAGCCGTGAAAATACACTTCACATAATTGTTGCATGAGTTAAATGAAATCATACATCATTTGGCACAGTGTTCAACAAATAATGAAGTGTATAATAAACTATAGAACTTATTACTACTATTACCAGAAAACACATGTAGTACAGCAATACTTCTCATATGGAACACATTTCTTTCTACCTTTTTATAAAGAAACTGTTTCATAATTTTAAAATTGGAAAACAAAATTAGCTTGCATTTTAAACTGAAATTGTATTGCTCTCGTTTCCTCCAGTATAAAAAATAAAGCAAAATACTCTGACAACTCTTCCATTAAAATAACCCCGTAGGGCCTTTAACAGCAAAGGAAGTTTAGTTTTATCAAGTTCCAAACTTAAGTAGAAACCATTCGGCCACCACCAATAGAAACCTCTATAATATACTGGACTATTCAACTTGAGATTAAAAGGGTTTCTTCTAGAACTCTAACTTCCAAATATCCTAACTGAAAAGACAATTCTGAAATATCTCAAACCACCACATTTATTGCTCAAAAATAAAATTACTGAAAAGAAGTACACTTCTAAAACACTTTTATTATTTAATGATTAAGTTCTGGTCTTCACGGTAAGTCAATAGTCATTCTAAACTAAATACTACTCAAAAAATGACTATTTGATTGTAAAGATTTCTATAACAAATCATAACTGTTGTAAGCCATTTCTTCCCTATATTCTTTCAAGTTAATAATATATGAACACTAAAGTTTTTAACAGTATTGTGCTCATCCCAGTAGATGACAGAAAAACTGAAATTCTAATTGTAAATGCATCACTCGTTTAAAACTGTGTTCAAAACCAACTTGATTCTCCTAAAACTAAACTACGGGGGCTGTTGAGGACAAGAAATTAGCATGCCCTGCCAGTATGAACATATCCCTGAAACCAAGCTTACTCACAACCACACAAACTGCTGTTGAATTTTGTGTGGTGACAATTTTGTCAACAGTGACACCCAGGCCACAGAGAAAGGAGAAAACAGTCGACAATGGGCACCACAAACCAAAAGCCTACTGGGAAAAACGGAACATGGAAAATTCAGTGAGTCACAGATTTTACTCAGTACAGCGAGCGCACCATCAGCAAAACTGAGTGCACCAATCCCAACTTTCTCTTAATCCCCCAACACAATATTCAAGAATTAAAACTATTGATGCGGTCTAGATTTGCTCTTCTTCTGCCAGACCTGTGACACCCACTCAATCTCGCCCTTCCCTTCACCCCACCGTCGCTCAAATAAGGACAACGGCAGAAAAGAGGCTTCTCCAAGCAGCACACAATCCACGCCCACACGCCTGGGCCGAGCACTATGACACTGACAGTTTTCGGTCCCTCCCGATCTCTCCAACTCGCGGCGCCTCCGCACACAACTCAGCAAAAGATGACAAGGGTAGAACCCACGCAAAGCGATGGCTTACTGTAGGACCTTCTGACCCTTCGCTCGGACAGGGAGGTGGGCCAAAGGAACGGTGCTCAGCTCAACCCAGTCACCGCACCACCACCCCCGCCTTGAATCTCCGAAAAAAGGCTGGGGAACCAACCCCCCTCCGAGGACAAAAAGGTGTCCAGCACTCCAGAGCCATCCCAGCCACCGCACCGGGAAACCAAGGGGATCAGGCGGTGAGACGGGGTCAGCGCTCAGCCGGGCAGGAGCCCGACTTAGCCGCCGCCGCCGAACTGGTAGGCCACTCGGCGGGAGGCGGAGGCGCCTGGGAGAGGCAAGCGAGGTAATCGGCAGCGTATTTCCCAGGGAAAAGCTCAGCGCGCCTCCCTTAACCTTCCCGATGACCCTCATTTTGAGCCCTCTACCTTCCAGTAGAAACGGGCAAAGCCCGGCGCTGGCGTCCACCTCGGCCAGTTTCGGCCACCACCGCGCAGTCCGCCTCCGGAGCGGACAGCAGCAGCCAGTGACAGAGCGATGAGCCCGGCCAACTCCTTCCCATCAAACCCCGCGCTCCCGCCGCCGGCCAATCGGCGCCGCGGCCGGCGCGCGCCGCTCCCTCGTCACGTGACCGTGACTAGGGCGGGTAGTTGGGGGCAGAGGCAGGCGGTTGGCGGGAGGAGCTCTGTGCATCCCTGTGGCTTCCGCAGCCAAATGGGGTGCTCGTCGTCGCGTCTTACAGGTGGAGTGTCATTTGTTTTGACTCTTACCAATAGTTACTTCTTACTCCTCCTCTGCCTCCTGTTTTTCTTTTGGAACCTGTTCTGCAAAGTCTCACTGGCCAAAGAAAACCCCGAAATTGGTCCTGATGGCCCTAGACCGCCGCGAGAGAGAGGAGTGGGTTTGACGTTGGAGATGGGTGCACCTGGACACGAGCCCGCCCTGAAGAGTGCGGGATCAGCTGTCATCCAGCCGGCAGCGGAGCCAGTTAATACTACACAGCTTAGGAGAGACGGGTTCCCAGACAAGCGACTAAGAAATTCAGCCTGGACTCCAGGAGTGCTGGAGACTTTTATGACTCATGGACTTCAAAAAGGGTCCTTTGATGACTGGGCCGCTTACCTCACCATTATGTGGTAAACGTCAACTGCCCGAGGATGTTGCTTTCAAACCGGTGGCTTAACAACATAAGCTGAGTTTTCTATCTTAAAACGCTTAAGAACACTCCCTTGGCAGGTCTTGGTACTAGGCCCATGAATAAACCACCTAGGTTTTATTTGCCTCAGATTTGAAACGTTGGCTAAAGTGCATTAAATTTACTAGTCAACTGAGAATGACAAGTCTCAATAACAAATAGTATTTGAATCACACAAGGTAATGTTGGAGAAGCATAGAGAAACTTCAGCAAAAGTTCTTGTCACGATTTACCCGTGTGCAAACATTTTTCATGGGATTTTTCTATTTTATTCGGTTACATACACATTTTAAGTGCCCATGGTATTTTAAAGAGTATAATCGTTGTATTATGCTATGTTTGAACTTTAACAGCCAAACAGGTAAATTATGAAAAGAAAGCATAATATTTAGTTGGTAAGAGTAATTTATTATATTGGAAGCTACCAGATAATTCAGTGTAGAGTTGCTTAACTTCTAAAATGTTTAGTTACAGCTTTGTAAACGTGAGGAGAAGGAAACCAAAGTTTCTTCTCATACTCTGAGTAAGACACTTTACATATCTAAAAGAAAATGAAACATTTCATTTCTTTTGGTATGGAAATTTAACCATTTTGTTTTTCATCCTTTCTTATTTTAAAGTTTAAAAAAAAAGCAACTTAGAGAATGAACTTTTGGTTACCACGGGGGAAGGGTAGTGGGGAGAGATGGTTAGGCAGTGTGGGACTGACTTGTACACACTGCTATATTTAAACTATATAACCACCAAGGACCTATATAAAGCACAGGGGACTCTGCTCGGTATTATATAACCACCTAAATGGGAAAAGAATTTGGATATGTGTATGTATTTAAAATAAATAATTGAAAGGCCTGTGCAGTTTTGCAAATACAGCTCCTCACCTCAGGACAATCTCTTTTCCTAAGAGAACAAGGAAGAGATACTTTCTATTTGCTAATGATTTGTTTTCTAGTTTTAATTGATCCATCAAGACTTACTGAAAAGACAAAAACAGGTGGGGAAAAGCAAAAGAGCTAACTGGGTGCAAGAAATTCCAGAAACCTAATCCTGAGACAAAATGCCTTAGGTAGTTGATATAGAAGAGGAGAAATTTGCCCTGACAAGGGGAGACAGAGGAGTATTAATTAGACCATTAACTTTTTTAACCTTCCCAATAACCTTTTAAGGTAATTATCAGTTTTCAAATGAAACTGAAAAGAAAAAGGAACTGAATAAAAATTATACATATATTGTTGAAAGTAATGCTATCCTTCTATATATCACTGCCTCCTCTTTATCAAGTGGTAAGAGTTTGTAGGCAAAGTGAGAGAAGATATTAGAAACAGAAAGATCAGCATATGCACTATATGGCTGAACTAAAGCTCCAACAGTCATTCCAAATATTTATTGAAGACAAGACCATGTGTTAAGTGCTGAGAATACAGAGATAAGTAAAATAGCTGCCCTAAAGCCACTGACCAGAGAAGGCAGTGGAATCCCACTCCAGTGTTCTTGCCTGGAGAATCCCAGGGACAGCGGAGCCTGGTGGGCTGCCGTCTAATGGGTCACACAGAGTCGGACACGACTGAAGCGACTTAGCAGCAGCAGCAGCAATTCAACATATGAGCCACATTTATTTAGATAGATAAATGAAAGTTGCAAGAAATAGGTGCTCTGAGAGCTTAGAGTCAGTCATTTATCTGGTCAGGAAAGTTAGGTAAGGCATGCTTGAGGAGGTCACCTGGAATACAGATCTGAAGGATGAGAAACTGAAGAAAGGAGAAAAGGAAACAGAGGAAACAGTCTGTGTACAGCCTTTTGTTGGGAATGAACAGTGCAAGCCCAGGGGTCTGAAAGGAGTCATTGTGACTAGAGCATAGTTTGCAGGGAGAGCAGACTAAGCAGGACTTGCTTGGCCATACTGAAAACAAAATGGGGTAGAGATTTAAAGTGATCAGATCTGTGTTTGGAAAAGATTATTCCAGCTGCAGTGTGGAGATATGAACAGGGTCCATCTTGGACCAGTTAGGATCTTTGAATCATGGCTAATGTTGGTAGTAAGTAGTTCAAGTGGATTGGGATGGGCACTAGGAGATGGAGACAAGTGGGGAAAATGGAACAATTTAGGAAGTGAAATAGGTCTAGGGAATGGATTTAGGTAAAGTAGAGTGGAACGAATGGGGATTGAGGGAGAGGAAGGAGTCATGACAGGGTATCTGGCAGGCACAGTGGATGGAAGCAGTGTTCACTGAGGTGTGGAGAGTCAGATTTGGGGGGAGATGGTGGCTTCAGTTGATTTCAACAGGTTGAGTCTCAGATGTTTGCATGACTTCAGGGCGAGATGTCACATAAACAGATCTATGGGTCTGCAGCACTGAGAAGTCTGAGCTAGAGAAAAAGTGTTCGGGTTTGTAATGTGTTCTTTTTCACCAAGTACTTATTTTTTCAAAATGCAACTATTATAAGTGTTGTGGGAAAACAAAATAAAAAGTATAAGTCTCTAAAGCTGTTTGCCAAACTTCTTTTCAAATTACCTGGGGCCTTCATTTAAAAAAAAAAAAAAAAGTTCTCTAGTATGAGGCATCAAATTTTGGAATTTTAACAAGTGCCACCAGTGAGTTTTCTTCTCAGGGAGTTTCTCTGGGCGGTGGCACTGCAGTGCCAGAGGCCACCTGCATAAGAGTTATCCTGCTGCTGCTGCTGCTGCTGCTGCTAAGTCACTTCAGTCGTGTCCAACTCTGTGCTACCCCTTAGACGGCAGCCCACCAGGCTCCGCCGTCCCTGGGATTCTCCAGGCAAGAATACTGGAGTGGGCTGCCATTTCCTTCTCCAATGTGTGAAAGTGAAAACTGAAAGTGAAGTCGCTCAGCCATGTCCGACACTTCACGACCCCATGGACTGCAACCCACCAGGCTCCTCTGCCCATGGGATTTTCCAGGCAAGAGTACTGGAATGGGTTGCCATTGCCTTCTCCAGAGAGTTATCCTAAGTGCTTATTAAAAGCACATCCCTTTAGGGATGCAAGGACAGGAGAAAGGAAGATGATGCAGCACCAGGTAGTCCAAGATTTCACCCTCCATCTTTGACAGAAGTGTCCTATGTGTTCCATCAGGCTGTTCAGAGGAAAGCTGGTGTCCTTTGTTGAATGATGCAAATGTAGGCACCAGGCAGCCCTGACAGGCTGCTGTACCAGCTTTCCTGGCTCCTAGCCCAGGCCTCCTGCCCTGTCCACTGACATGGTGCTCAGCGTACTCCAGTGCTCTCTTTTTCTGCCACTCCCATCAGACCATGTCCTTCCCTCCCTGGGGGAGGTGTTATGGGTGTTATGCTCCATATACTCCTACCAATTCAGAGGTTTCTTTTAGCCAATCTGGCCAGGGTTGAGAGGGAAATAGGTTCGAATGCTATGTTTCACTCTCAACAAATTCTCAAGAACTTAATTTGTAAGCATTTTGTTTTTTAAAGACTGAATTGTTTGTTCTCTGTGTAGTCTCACTGTTACATCTCTTTTTCTTTATGAAGCACTGTAGATGTAGAGGAATAATCAGAAAGTAAGAGGGGAAAAGAGATTAGAATTATTTTTTAATAGGAAATATAGCAAACAGATGTATACTACTTAAAGACTATAACCCAAACACTCATGTAACCCACACTGGGTCAAAAAGTAGAATGTTACCAACACTCCAAAAGGTCCCAAAGTGCCCCTTCCTTTATAACCCCCAAGTACCTAGGGTTAATAAACACTATCATGATTATTAAAATATTGACTTCCTTGCTTTTTTTTATAGTTGTATTGCTTAATTACTCACTCAAACAGTATATTTCATGCCTGGTTTTTAACTCAATGTAAATTGAATCATAGAGTAAATTTTTTTTTCATGTCTTGATTTCTTTTACCCAAAGTTATGTCTTTAAGATTCATCCATGTGGCTGTAGGTTTTTATTCACATTTCTTTCATTGTAGGTATTAATTTCAGGGAGAATAATATCCTTCAACATGAGCCTCCCCTTTGTGGCTTATGGTATGACTCCATATTTGTTCAGGTGTGGCCCATGTGTTTTCCAAAAAAATTTTTCATCACATAAAGTTTCATACCTTTATAGTAGGTAGAATTCTAAAGATGGCCCTCCAAGATTCCCATCCCCTGATTAATCAATAAAATTATAGTCTAAGTACTGCTGTGAAGGATTTCTACAGATGTAAAAGAGGTAACTCTGAGCTCAAGAGAATCCAGGCTCCAGGGACTGCACCTTGAAGGATGTGTTTGGGTTGGAGGGCCCATGTGTCGACCAGGAGGTGAGCAGGCTCCACTCTAAAACTAGCCTCTAGAGCCAGCTTTCTGACCTGAGGCTGTTCGGTGCATCCTTGGTGGACACAGGTGGCAGATGCTGC